TGTCTCTCTCCCAGGTGTCTCACCACGTGTCTCCCCGTGTCTCCCCACGTGTCTCTCTCCACGTGTCTCTCTCCCACGTGTCTCACCGTGTCTCCCAAGTGTATCTCTCTCCCCGTGTCTCTCACCACGTGTCTCACCACGTGTCTCTCACCACGTGTCTCACCACGTGTCTCACCACGTGTCTCTCTCGAAGTGTCTTTCACGTGTCTCTCCTCGTGTCTCCCCGTGTGTCTCCCCGTGTCTCTCACCACGTGTCTCTCTCCCCGTGTCTCTCCCCGTGTCTCTCTCCCCGGCTCTCGCTGCTCATCGCCGGAGCCTTCCGTGACCTCGTGACCTCTGCCGGTCAGCCTCCCACGTGTCTCTCACCACGTGTCTCTCTCACCACGTGTCTCTCTCACCACGTGTCTCCACGTGTCTCTCACCACGTGTCTCCCACGTGTCTCTCACCACGTGTCTCTCACCACGTGTCTCACCACGTGTCTCACCACGTGTCTCCACGTGTCTCTCTCACCACGTGTCTCCCACGTGTCTCTCTCCCTGTGTCTCCCACGTGTCTCCTCGTGTCTCCCACGTGTCTCTCACCACGTGTCTCCCACCACGTGTCTCTCTCTCCACGTGTCTCTCTCCACGTGTCTCTCACCACGTGTCTCACCACGTGTCTCTCACCACGTGTCTCACCACGTGTCTCCTCGTGTCACCACGTGTCTCTCTCACCACGTGTCTCTCTCCGTGTCTCTCTCCCCGGCTCTCGCTGCTCATCGCCGGAGCCTTCCGTGACCTCGTGACCTCTGCCGGTCAGCCTCCCACGTGTCTCTCACCACGTGTCTCACCACGTGTCTCTCTCCCCACGTGTCTCTCTCTCCACGTGTCTCTCCCTCCCCGTGTCTCTCTCTCCACGTGTCTCTCACCACGTGTCTCACCACGTGTCTCTCTCTCCACGTGTCTCTCACCACGTGTCTCCCACGTGTCTCTCTCCCCACGTGTCTCCCACCACGTGTCTCTCTCCTCGTGTCTCTCCCCACGTGTCTCCCCGTGTCTCCCACGTGTTTCTCTCCTCGTGTCTCTCTCTCCACGTGTCTCTCACCACGTGTCTCACCACGTGTCTCCCACGTGTCTCACCACGTGTCTCACCACGTGTCTCCCCGTGTCTCCCACGTGTCTCTCTCCTCGTGTCTCTCTCTCCACGTGTCTCTCACCACGTGGCTCTCACCACGTGTCTCTCACCACGTGTCTCTCCACGTGTCTCTCTCTCCACGTGTCTCTCTCTCCACGTGTCTCTCTCACCACGTGTCTCACCACGTGTCTCTCACCACGTGTCTCTCCACGTGTCTCTCTCTCCACGTGTCTCTCTCACCACGTGTCTCTCTCACCACGTGTCTCACCACGTGTCTCTCACCACGTGTCTCTCCCATGTGTCTCTCACCACGTGTCTCTCACCACGTGTGTCTCCCCGTGTCTCTCACCACGTGTCTCTCTCACCACGTGTCTCTCCCCGTGTCTCTCTCCCCGGCTCTCGCTGCTCATCGCCGGAGCCTTCCGTGACCTCGTGACCTCTGGCGGTCAGCCTCACCACGTGTCTCTCACCACGTGTCTCACCACGTGTCTCTCACCACGTGTCTCCACGTGTGTCTCTCACCACGTGTCTCTCACCACGTGTCTCACCACGTGTCTCTCTCCTCGTGTCTCTCACCACGTGTCTCTCTCCCCATGTCTCCCCGTGTCTCTCCACGTGTCTCTCTCCACGTGTCTCTCACCACGTGTCTCTCACCACGTGTCTCTCTCACCACGTGTCTCACCACGTGTCTCTCTCTCCACGTGTCTCACTCCTCGTGTCTCTCTCTCCACGTGTCTCTCTCCCACGTGTCTCACCGTGTCTCCCAAGTGTCTCTCTCTCCCCGTGTCTCTCACCACGTGTCTCTCACCACGTGTCTCTCCACGTGTCTCTCTCTCCCCGTGTCTCACTCACCACGTGTCTCTCTCACCACGTGTCTCACTCACCACGTGTCTCTCTCACCACGTGTCTCTCCCCGTGTCTCTCTCCCCGGCTCTCGCTGCTCATCGCCGGAGCCTTCCGTGACCTCGTGACCTCTGGCGGTCAGCCTCCCACGTGTCTCTCACCACGTGTCTCTCTCACCACGTGTCTCACCACGTGTCTCACCACGTGTCTCTCTCCGTGTCTCTCTCCGTGTCTCCCACCATGTGTCTCTCTCCCAGGTGTCTCACCACGTGTCTCCCAAGTGTCTCTCTCTCCCCGTGTCTCTCTCCCCGTGTCTCTCACCACGTGTCTCTCACCACGTGTCTCCCACGTGTCTCTCTCCGTGTCTCTCTCCGTGTCTCCCACCACGTGTCTCTCTCCCAGGTGTCTCACCACGTGTCTCCCCGTGTCTCCCCACGTGTCTCTCTCCACGTGTCTCTCTCCCACGTGTCTCACCGTGTCTCCCAAGTGTCTCTCTCTCCCCGTGTCTCTCACCACGTGTCTCACCACGTGTCTCTCACCACGTGTCTCACCACGTGTCTCTCTCGAAGTGTCTCCCACGTGTCTCTCCTCGTGTCTCCCCGTGTGTCTCCCCGTGTCTCTCACCACGTGTCTCTCTCCCCGTGTCTCTCCCCGTGTCTCTCTCCCCGGCTCTCGCTGCTCATCGCCGGAGCCTTCCGTGACCTCGTGACCTCTGCCGGTCAGCCTCCCACGTGTCTCTCACCACGTGTCTCTCTCACCACGTGTCTCTCTCACCACGTGTCTCCACGTGTCTCTCACCACGTGTCTCCCACGTGTCTCTCACCACGTGTCTCTCACCACGTGTCTCACCACGTGTCTCACCACGTGTCTCCACGTGTCTCTCTCACCACGTGTCTCCCACGTGTCTCTCTCCCTGTGTCTCCCACGTGTCTCCTCGTGTCTCCCACGTGTCTCTCACCACGTGTCTCCCACCACGTGTCTCTCTCTCCACGTGTCTCTCTCCACGTGTCTCTCACCACGTGTCTCACCACGTGTCTCTCACCACGTGTCTCACCACGTGTCTCCTCGTGTCTCCACGTGTCTCTCTCACCACGTGTCTCTCTCCTCGTGTCTCTCTCCACGTGTCTCTCTCCTCGTGTCTCCTCGTGTCTCTCACCACGTGTCTCTCTCCGTGTCTCTCTCCCCGGCTCTCGCTGCTCATCGCCGGAGCCTTCCGTGACCTCGTGACCTCTGCCGGTCAGCCTCCCACGTGTCTCTCACCACGTGTCTCACCACGTGTCTCTCTCCCCACGTGTCTCTCTCTCCACGTGTCTCTCCCTCCCCGTGTCTCTCTCTCCACGTGTCTCTCACCACGTGTCTCACCACGTGTCTCTCTCTCCACGTGTCTCTCACCACGTGTCTCCCACGTGTCTCTCTCCCCACGTGTCTCCCACCACGTGTCTCTCTCCTCGTGTCTCTCCCCACGTGTCTCCCCGTGTCTCCCACGTGTTTCTCTCCTCGTGTCTCTCTCTCCACGTGTCTCTCACCACGTGTCTCACCACGTGTCTCCCACGTGTCTCACCACGTGTCTCACCACGTGTCTCCCCGTGTCTCCCACGTGTCTCTCTCCTCGTGTCTCTCTCTCCACGTGTCTCTCACCACGTGTCTCTCACCACGTGTCTCACCACGTGTCTCCCACGTGTCTCCCCGTGTCTCTCTCTCCCCCAGTGTCTCTCTCTCCTCGTGTCTCTCCCCACGTGTCTCCCACGTCTCTCCCACGTGTCTCCCACGTGTCTCCACGTGTCTCTCTCTCCACGTGTCTCTCCCCACGTGTCTCTCACGTGTCTCCCACGTGTCTCCTCGTGTCTCCACGTGTCTCTCTCTCCACGTGTCTCCACGTGTCTCTCTCTCCACGTGTCTCTCCCCACGTGTCTCCCACGTGTCTCCCACGTGTCTCCTCGTGTCTCCACGTGTCTCTCTCTCCACGTGTCTCTCCCCACGTGTCTCCCACGTGTCTCCCCGTGTCTCTCTCCCCGTGTCTCTCTCCCCCGTGTCTCTCTGTCCCCGTGTCTCTCTCCCCTCTTTCTCCCCGTGTCTCTCTCCCCGTGTCTCTCTCTCCCCGTGTCTCTCTCTCCCCGTGTCTCTCTCTCACCGTGTCTCTCTCTCCCCGTGTCTCTCTCTCCCCGTGTCTCTCTCTCTCCGTGTTTCTCTCCGTGTCTCTCTCTCCCAGTTTCTCTCTCTCCCCGTGTCTCTCTCTCCCCCTGTCTCTCTCTCTCTGTGTTTCTCCCCCTGTCTCTCTCTCTCTCCGTGTTTCTCCCCGTGTCTCTCTCTCACCGTGTCTCTCTCTCCCCCTGTCTCTCTCTCTCTCCGTGTTTCTCTCTCCCCGTGTCTCTCTCTCCCCGTGTCTCTCTCTCCACGTGTCTATCTCTCCGTGTCACTCTCCCCGTGTCACTCTCCCCGTGTCTCTCTCCCCCGGTGTCTCTCTCTCCCCGTGTCTCTCTCTCCCCGTGTCTCTCTCTCACCGTGTCTCTCTCTCCCCGTGTCTCTCTCTCCCCGTGTCTCTCTCTCTCCGTGTTTCTCTCCGTGTCTCTCTCTCCCGGTGTCTCTCTCTCCCCGTGTCTCTCTCTCCCCCTGTCTCTCTCTCTCTGTGTTTCTCCCCCTGTCTCTCTCTCTCTCTCCGTGTTTCTCCCCGTGTCTCTCTCTCCCCGTGTCTCTCTCTCCCCGTGTCTCTCTCTCTCTCCGTGTTTCTCCCCGTGTCTCTCTCTCCCCGTGTCTCTCTCCCCACGTGTCTCTCTCTCCCCCGGTGTCTCTCTCCCCATGTCTCTCTCCCAGTGTCTCTCTCTCCCATTGTCTCTCTCTCCCCGTGTCTCTCTCTCTCTCCGTGTTTCTCTCCGTGTCTCTCTCTCCCCGTGTCTCTCTCTCCCCGTGTCTCTCTCTCCCCGTGTCTCTCTCTCCCCGTGTCTCTCCCCGTGTCTCTCTCCCAGTGTCTCTCTCTCTCCGTGTTTCTCCCCGTGTCTCTCTCTCACCGTGTCTCTCTCCCCCCGTGTCTCTCTCCCACCCCCAGGACCCGTCCCCCCTGTCCCTGTGGACGAAGTCTCCCTGTCCCACCTTGTCCGGTGCTTACGCCGTTGTCCGAGTGGACTGGACTCGACGCTGGCCAGAACCATTCCGGTTGGCGTCGCGTTCCATCACGCAGGTGGTCAACACTGCACCATAGACTCAACACTGCACCATAGACTCAAAACTGCACCATAGACTCAACACTGCCCATAGACTCAACACTGCACCATAGACTCAACACTGCACCATAGACTCAACACTGCCCATAGACTCAACACTGCACCTTAGACTCAACACTGCACCATAGACTCAACACTGCACCTTAGACTCAGCACTGCACCATAGACTCAACACTGCCCATAGACTCAACACTGCACCATAGACTCAACACTGCACCATAGACTCAACACTGCACCATAGACTCAACACTGCACCATAGACTCAACACTGCACCATAGACTCAACACTGCACCATAGACTCAACACTGCCCCATAGACTCAACACTGCACCATACACTCAACACTGCACCATAGACTCAACACTGCACCATAGACTCAACACTGCCCCATAGACTCAACACTGCACCATAGACTCAACACTGCACCATAGACTCAACACTGCACCTTAGACTCAACACTGCACCATAGACTCAACACTGCACCATAGACTCAACACTGCACCATAGACTCAGCACTGCACCATAGACTCAACACTGCACCATAGACTCAGCACTGCCCCATAGACTCAGCACTGCACCATAGACTCAACACTGCACCATAGACTCAACACTGCACCATAGACTCAACACTGCACCATAGACTCAGCACTGCACCATAGACTCAACACTACACCATAGACTCAACACTGCACCATAGACTCAACACTGCACCATAGACTCAACACTGCACCATAGACTCAACACTGCACTATAGACTCAACACTGCACCATAGACTCAACACTGCCCATAGACTCAACACTGCACCATAGACTCAGCACTGCACCATAGACTCAACACTGCACCATAGACTCAGCACTGCCCCATAGACTCAGCACTGCACCATAGACTCAACACTGCACCATAGACTCAGCACTGCACCATAGACTCAGCACTGAGACCCATAGACTCAACACTACCCATAGACTCAACACTGCACCATAGACTCAACACTTCACCATAGACTCAACACTGCCCCATAGACTCAACACTGCACCATAGACTCAACACTGCACCATAGACTCAACACTGCCCATAGACTCAACACTGCACCATAGATTCAACACTGCCCATAGACTCAACACTGCACCATAGACTCAACACTGCACCATAGACTCAACACTGCCCCATAGACTCAACACTGCACCATAGACTCAACACTGCCCCATAGACTCAACACTGCACCATAGACTCAACACTGCACCATAGACTCAACACTGCACCATAGACTCAACACTGCACCATAGACTAAACACTGCCCATAGACTCAACACTGAGACCCATAGACTCAACACTGCACCATAGACTCAGCACTGCACCATAGACTCAACACTGCACCATAGACTCAGCACTGCACCATAGACTCAACACTGCCCATAGACTCAGCACTGAGACCCATAGACTCAGCACTACACCATAGACTCAACACTGCACCATAGACTCAACACTGCACCATAGACTCAACACTGCACCATTGACTCAACACTGCACCATAGACTCAACACTGCACCATAGACTCAACACTTCACCATAGACTCAACACTGCACCATAGACTCAACACTGCCCCATAGACTCAGCACTGCACCATAGACTCAACACTGCCCATAGACTCAGCACTGCACCATAGACTCAACACTGCACCATAGACTCAGCACTGCACCATAGACTCAGCACTGCACCATAGACTCAACACTGCACCATAGACTCAACACTGTCCCATAGACTCAGCACTGCCCATAGACTCAGCACTGCACCATAGACTCAGCACTGCACCGTAGACTCAGCACTGCACCATAGACTCAACACTGCACCACAGACTCAACACTGCACCATAGACTCAACACTGCCCATAGACTCAACACTGCACCATAGACTCAACACTGCCCCATAGACTCAACACTGCCCCATAGACTCAACACTGCCCATAGACTCAACACTGCTCATAGACTCAGCACTGCCCATAGACTCAGCACTGCCCATAGACTCAGCACTGCACCATAGACTCAGCACTGAGACCCATAGACTCAACACTGCACCATAGAATCAACACTGCACCATAGAATCAACACTGCACCATAGACTCAGCACTGCCCATAGACTCAGCACTGAACCATAGACTCAGCACTGCACCATAGACTCAACACTGCACCATAGACTCAACACTGCACCATAGACTCAACACTGCACTATAGACTCAGCACTGCACCATAGACTCAACACTGCACCATAGACTCAGCACTGCACCATAGACTCAACACTGCACCATAGTCTCAGCACTGCACCATAGACTCAACACTGCCCCATAGACTCAACACTGCACCATAGACTCAACACTGCCCCATAGACTAAACACTGCACCATAGACTCAACACTGCACTATAGACTCAACACTGCACCATAGACTCAACACTGCACCATAGACTCAACACTGCACCATAGACTCAACACTGCACCATAGACTCAGCACTGCACCGTAGACTCAACACTGCACCATAGACTCAGCACTGCACCATATACTCAACACTGCACCATAGACTCAGCACTGCACCATAGACTCAGCACTGCACCATAGACTCAACACTGCACCATAGACTCAGCACTGCACCATAGACTCAACACTGCACCATAGACTCAACACTGCACCATAGACTCAACACTGCACCATAGACTCAGCACTGAGACCCATAGACTCAACACTGCACCATAGACTCAACACTGCACCATAGACTCAACACTGCCCATAGACTCAACACTGCACCATAGACTCAGCACTGCACCATAGACTCAACACTGCACCATAGTCTCAGCACTGCACCATAGACTCAACACTGCCCCATAGACTCAACACTGCACCATAGACTCAACACTGCCCCATAGACTAAACACTGCACCATAGACTCAACACTGCACTATAGACTCAACACTGCACCATAGACTCAGCACTGCACCATAGACTCAACACTGCACCATAGACTCAACACTGCACCATAGACTCAGCACTGCACCGTAGACTCAACACTGCACCATAGACTCAGCACTGCACCATATACTCAACACTGCACCATAGACTCAGCACTGCACCATAGACTCAGCACTGCACCATAGACTCAACACTGCACCCTACACTCAACACTGCACCATAGACTCAGCACTGAGACCCATAGACTCAACACTGCACCATAGACTCAACACTGCACCATAGACTCAACACTGCCCATAGACTCAGCACTGAGACCCATAGACTCAGCACTACACCATAGACTCAACACTGCACCATAGACTCAACACTGCACCATAGACTCAACACTGCACCATTGACTCAACACTGCACCATAGACTCAACACTGCACCATAGACTCAACACTTCACCATAGACTCAACACTGCACCATAGACTCAACACTGCCCCATAGACTCAGCACTGCACCATAGACTCAACACTGCCCATAGACTCAGCACTGCACCATAGACTCAACACTGCACCATAGACTCAGCACTGCACCATAGACTCAGCACTGCACCATAGACTCAACACTGCACCATAGACTCAACACTGTCCCATAGACTCAGCACTGCCCATAGACTCAGCACTGCACCGTAGACTCAGCACTGCACCGTAGACTCAGCACTGCACCATAGACTCAACACTGCACCACAGACTCAACACTGCACCATAGACTCAACACTGCCCATAGACTCAACACTGCACCATAGACTCAACACTGCCCCATAGACTCAACACTGCCCCATAGACTCAACACTGCCCATAGACTCAACACTGCTCATAGACTCAGCACTGCCCATAGACTCAGCACTGCCCATAGACTCAGCACTGCACCATAGACTCAGCACTGAGACCCATAGACTCAACACTGCACCATAGAATCAACACTGCACCATAGAATCAACACTGCACCATAGACTCAGCACTGCCCATAGACTCAGCACTGAACCATAGACTCAGCACTGCACCATAGACTCAACACTGCACCATAGACTCAACACTGCACCATAGACTCAACACTGCACCATAGACTCAGCACTGCACCATAGACTCAACACTGCACCATAGACTCAGCACTGCACCATAGACTCAACACTGCACCATAGTCTCAGCACTGCACCATAGACTCAACACTGCCCCATAGACTCAACACTGCACCATAGACTCAACACTGCCCCATAGACTAAACACTGCACCATAGACTCAACACTGCACTATAGACTCAACACTGCACCATAGACTCAGCACTGCACCATAGACTCAACACTGCACCATAGACTCAACACTGCACCATAGACTCAGCACTGCACCATAGACTCAACACTGCACCATAGACTCAGCACTGCACCATATACTCAACACTGCACCATAGACTCAGCACTGCACCATAGACTCAGCACTGCACCATAGACTCAACACTGCACCATAGACTCAGCACTGCACCATAGACTCAACACTGCACCATAGACTCAACACTGCACCATAGACTCAACACTGCACCATAGACTCAGCACTGAGACCCATAGACTCAACACTGCACCATAGACTCAACACTGCACCATAGACTCAACACTGCCCATAGACTCAACACTGCACCATAGACTCAACACTGCACCATAGACTCAACACTGCACCATAGACTCAACACTGCCCATAGACTCAACACTGCCCATAGACTCAACACTGCACAAAGACTCAACACTGCACAATAGACTCAACACTGCACCATAGACTCAACACTGCACCATAGACTCAACACTGCACCATAGACTCAACACTGCACCATAGACTCAACACTGCCCATAGACTCAACACTACACCATAGACTCAACACTGCACCATAGACTCAACACTGCACCATAGACTCAACACTGCACCATAGCCTCAACACTGCACCATAGACTCAACACTGCACCATAGACTCAACACTGCACCATAGACTCAACACTGCCCATAGACTCAACACTGCACCATAGACTCAACACTGCCCATAGACTCAACACTGCACCATAGACTCAACACTGCACCATAGACTCAACACTGCAGCATAGACTCAACACTGAGACCCATAGACTCAACACTGCCCCATAGACTCAACACTGCACCATAGACTCAACACTGCAACATAGACTCAACACTGCCCATAGACTCAACACTGCACCATAGACTCAACACTGCACCATAGACTCAACACTGCACCATAGACTCAACACTGCACCATAGACTCAACACTGCCCATAGACTCAACACTGCACCATAGACTCAACACTGAGACCCATAGACTCAACACTGCACCATAGACTCAACACTGCCCACTCACCCACCCACTCACTCACCCTCTCACCCTCTCACCGACTCACTCACCCACCCACCCACCCACTCACCCACTCACCCACCCACCCACTCACTCACTCACTCACCCACTCACTCACTCACCTACCCACCCACTCACCCACTCACTCACTCACCCACCCACTTACCCACTAACCCACCCACCCACCCACTCACTCACTCACTCGCTCACCCACTCACTCACTCACTCACCCACCCACCCACTCACCCACCCACCCACCCACTCACTCACCCACCCACTCACCCACTCACCCACTCACTCACCCACCCACCCACTCACCCACCCACCCACTCACCCACCCACCCACTAACTCACTCACCCACTCGCTAACCCACTCACTCACTCACCCACCTACTCACTCACCCACTCACTCACTCACCCACTCACCCACCCACTCACCCACTCACTCACTCACCCACTCACTCACTCACCCACCCACTCACCCACCCACCCACTCACCCACTCACCCACCCACCCACTCACTCACCCACTCACTCACCCACCCACTCACTCACTCACTCGCTCACCCACTCACCCACTCACCCACCCACCCACTTACCCACTAACCCACCCACCCACCCACTCACTCACCCACTCACTCACCCACTCACCCACCCACCCACCCACTCACTCACTCACCCACTCACCCACTCACTCACCCACTCACCCACCCACCCACCCACTCACCCACCCACCCACTCACCCACCCACCCACCCACCCACCCACCCACTCACCCACTCACTCACCCACCCACCCACTCACCCACCCACCCACTCACTCACCCACTCACTCACCCACCCACCCACCCACTCACTCACTCACTCGCTCACCCACTCACCCACCCACCCACTTACCCACTAACCCACCCACTCACTCACTCACCCACTCACTCACCCACTCACCCACCCACCCACTCACTCACTCACCAACTCACCCACCCACCCACTCACTCACTCACCCACTCACCCACCCACCCACTCACTCACCCACCCACCCACCCACTCACTCACCCACTCATCCACCCACCCACCCACCCACTCAGCCACTCACCCACTCACTCACCCACTCACCCACCCACTCACCCACTCACTCACCCACCCACTCACCCACCCACTCACCCACCCACTCACCCACTCACCCACCCACTCACCCACCCACTCACCCACCCACCCCCGTGTCCAGGCCTCACTGTGGAGGAGCGATCCGTGCTGGAGGAGGCTTATCGCTCGACCTCCCTGCTGGTCCTCGTGTCCACCCACTCGCTCACTCACCCACCCACCCACTCACCCACTCACTCACCCACTCACCCACTCACCCACCCACCCACCCACCCACTCACCCTCTCACCCACTCACCCTCTCACCCACTCACCCACTCACCCACTCACCCACCCACCCACCCACTCACCCACCCACTCACCCACCCACCCACCCACTCACCCACTCACTCACTCACTCACCCACTCACCCACTCACTCAGTTACCTACCCACCCACTCACTCATCCACCCACCCACCCACCCACTCACCCACTCACCCACTCACTCACTCACCCACTCACCCACCCACCCACTCACCCACTCACTCACCCTCTCACCCACTCACCCACTCACCCACTCACCCACCCACCCACCCAGGCCTCACTGTGGAGGAGCGATCCGTGCTGGAGGAGGCTTATCGCTCGACCTCCCTGCTGGTCCTCGTGTCCACCCACTCGCTCACTCACTCACCCACCCACCCACTCGCTCACTCACCCACCCACCCACTCACCCACCCACCCTCTCACCCACCCAGGCCTCACTGTGGAGGAGCGATCCGTGCTGGAGGAGGCTTATCGCTCGACCTCCCTGCTGGTCCTCGTGTCCACCCACTCACTCACTCACTCACCCACCTACTCACTCACCCACCCACTCACTCACTCACCCACCCTCTCACCCACTCACTCACTCACCCACCCACTAACCCACCCACCCACCCACTCACCCACCTACCCCCGTGTCCAGGCCTCACTGTGGAGGAGCGATCCGTGCTGGAGGAGGCTTATCGCTCGACCTCCCTGCTGGTCCTCGTGTCCACCCACTCGCTCACTCACTCACTCACCCACCTACTCACCCACCTACTCACTCACCCACCCACTCACTCACCCACCCACCCACTCACCCACTCACCCACCCACGTACCCCCCAGGCCTCACTGTGGAGGAGCGATCCGTGCTGGAGGAGGCTTATCGCTCGACCTCCCTGCTGGTCCTCGTGTCCACCCACTCGCTCACTCACCCACTCACTCACCCACCCACCCACTCGCTCACTCACCCACCCACTCGCTCACTCACCCACTCACTCACCCACCCACCCACTCACTCACTCACTCACCCACCCACTCACTCACTCACCCACTCACCCACTCACTCACCCACCCACTCACCCACCCACCCACCCACCCACTCACTCACCCACCCACCCACCAACTCACCCACCCACCCACCCAGGCCTCACTGTGGAGGAGCGAGCCGTGTTGGAGGAGGCTTATCGCTCGACCTCCCTGCTGGTCCTCGTGTCCACCCACTCGCTCACCCACTCACTCACTTACTCACTCACTCACTCACCCACTCACTCACCCACCTACTCACTCACCCACTCACTCACTCACCCACTCACTCACCCACCCACTCACTCACCCACTCACCCTCTCACCCACTCACCCACCCACCCACTCACTCACCCACTCACTCACTCACCCACCCACCCACCCACCCACTCTCTCACCCACTCACCCACTCACCCACTCACCCACTCACCCACTCACTCACCCACCCAGGCCTCACTGTGGAGGAGCGATCCGTGTTGGAGGAGGCTTATCGCTCGACCTCCCTGCTGGTCCTCGTGTCCACCCACTCGCTCACCCACCCACCCACTCACCCACTCACCCACTCACCCACTCACCCACCCACCCACTCACTCACCCACTCACCCACTCACCCACTCACCCTCTCACCCACCCACCCACTCGCTCACTCACTCACCCACCCACCCACTCTCTCACCCACTCACCCACTCACCCACTCACCCACTCACCCACCCACCCACCCAGGCCTCACTGTGGAGGAGCGATCCGTGCTGGAGGAGGCTTATCGCTCGACCTCCCTGCTGGTCCTCGTGTCCACCCACTCACTCACTCACTCACCCACTCACCCACTCACCCACCCACCCACTCACTCACCCACTCACCCACCCACCCACCCACTCTCTCACCCACTCACCCACTCACCCACTCACCCACCCACCCACTCACTCACCCACCCAGGCCTCACTGTGGAGGAGCGATCCGTGTTGGAGGAGGCTTATCGCTCGACCTCCCTGCTGGTCCTCGTGTCCACCCACTCACTCACTCACTCACCCACTCACCCACCCACCCACCGACTCACTCACCCACTCACCCACTCACCCACCCACCCACCCAGGCCTCACTGTGGAGGAGCGATCCGTGCTGGAGGAGGCTTATCGCTCGACCTCCCTGCTGGTCCTCGTGTCCACCCACTCGCTGTCGGCGGGCGTGAACCTCCCGGCCAGGCGCGTGATCTTGCGGGGAGCGATCCGAGCCGGTGCAGGATCAGGCGCAGCCATGGGCAAGCCTTGCCCACTGACACCCCACATGTATGTGCAGATGAGCGGGCGCGCTGGGCGAGCGGGCATTGAACGGCACGGTACGGGTGGCGGTGGTGCACGTGCACGCACACAGATACACACGTGGTACACACATACACATACACACAGACACATACACACACACGTGGGTACACACATACACACACATACACACAGATACACACATACACATACACACAGATAGATACACACATACACACATACACATACACACACACGTGGGTACACACACACACAGATAGATACACATACACACAGACACATACACACACACGTGGTACACACATACACATACACACAGACACATACACACACACGTGGTACACACATACACATACACACAGACACACACACAGATAGATACACATACACACAGATAGATACACATACACACAGATAGATACACACATACACACACACATACACACACACGTGGTACACACATACACATACACACAGACACACACACAGATAGATACACATACACACAGATAGATACACATACACACAGATAGATACACACATACACATACACAGATAGATACACATACACACACACACGTGGTACACACATACACACAGACACACACACAGATAGATACACACACACACAGATACACACACATACACAGATAGATACACACACACATACACACACACACGTGGTACACACATACACATACACACATACACATACACACACACACGTGGTACACACATACACATACACACACATACACAGATAGATACACATACACACAGTGTGGTACACACATACACACAGATAGATACACACATACACACACACAGATAGATACACATACACATACACACACACACGTGGTACACACATACACATACACACACATACACACAGATAGATACACACATACACATACACACACACACACACACGTGGTACACACATACACATACACACAGACACATACACACAGATAGATAGATACACATACACACATACACACACACACACGTGGTACACACACACACACGTGGTACACACATACACATACACACACACACGTGGTACACACATACACGTGGGGTGTCAGTGGGCAAGCCTTGCCCACTGACACCCCACGTGTATGTGCAGATGAGCGGGCGCGCTGGGCGAGCGGGCATTGAACGGCACGGTACGGGTGGCGGTGGTGCACGTGCACGCACAGATACACAGATAGATACACACGTGGTACACACATACACATACACACAGATAGATACACACACATACACACACACACAGATAGATACACATACACATACACACAGATAGATACACACACATACACACACACACAGATAGATAGATACACATACACACACACACAGATACACACACAGATAGATACACACACATACACACACACACATACACAGATAGATACACACACATACAGATAGATACACACGTGGGTACACACATACACACATACACACACACATACAGTGTGGTACACACATACACACAGATAGATACACACACACATACACACACACAGATAGATACACACGTGGGTACACACACACACATACACACACACATACACACATACACACGTGGTACACACATACACATACACACACACACATACACACATACACACGTGGTACACACATACACACACACAGTGTGGTACACACACACACACAGATAGATACACACACACACACAGATAGATAGATACACACATACACACACACACAGTGTGGTACACACATACACACAGATAGATACACACACACACACAGATAGATAGATACACACATACACACACACACAGTGTGGTACACACATACACACAGATAGATACACACATACACACACACACAGATACACACACAGATACACACACACACACATACACACACACACACACACAGATACACACACACACATACACACACACACAGATAGATACACACATACACACACACAGATATATACACACACACACATACACACACACACATAGATAGATACACATACACATACACACACACACAGATACACACACAGATACACACATACACACACACACATACACACACACATACACACACACAGATAGATACACATACACACACACAGATACACACACACACATACACACACACATACACAGATAGATACACATACACACACACACAGATACACACACAGATACACACATACACACACACACATACACACACACAGATACACACACACACATACACACACACACAGATAGATACACACACACACATACACACACACAGATATACACACACACACATACACACACACACATACACAGATAGATACACATACACAGATAGATACACATACACACACACACATACACACACACACATACACACACACAGATACACACACATACAGATACACACATACACACACACAGATAGATACACGTGGGTACACACACACAGATACACACACACAGATACACACACACAGATACACACATACACACGTGTGTACACACACACACACACAGATACACATACACACAGTGTGGTACACACACACACATATACATACACACACAGTGTGTACACACACACACACGTGGGTACACACACACAGATACACACACACACGTGGGTACACACAGACACACACACACACACGTGGTACACACACACAGTGTGGTACACACACACACACGGTACACACACACACACACGTGGGTACACACACATACACACACACACGTGGTACACACACACACACAGATACACACATACACACACGTGTGGTACACACACACAGACACACATACACACACACAGATAGATACACACACACATACACACACGTGGGTACACACACGTGGGTACACACACAAAGATCCCCCATATAGCCTTAACAGACTGTAGGGGCAAGTGCTGTTAGCGAGCACCACCTATGAAGGCCGGAACGGTACACGAGGGGGTGGGTGGCCAGCACCACGCCCGACCGCCTTTGTCTCCCTAGTGGCAATATTTACACACCGCACCAGGTACTCATTTGAGGCTGAGTCGACCTAGGGGAGGCCCGGGACCGGTTCAGATAATCGTCACTGGTGTTGGCCGTGAGCGGGAATCGAACCCGGGTCGCCAGGTTCATAGCGCAGCGTAGCGCTAACCGCTACACTATCGCTCACACACACACACATACACACACACGTGGGTACACACACACACAGATACACACATACACGTGGTACACACATACACACATACATACAGACACACGTGTGGTACACACACACACGTGGGTACACACACACACAGATACACACACACACACAGATACACACACACACAGATACACACACACACACGTGTGGTACACACACACACACATACACACGTGTGTACACACACACACACACGTGTGTACACACACACACACATACACACACACACACAGTGTGGTACACACACGTGTGTGTGTGTGTGTCTCACTGTGTCACTGTGTGTCTCACTGTGTGTGTGTGTGACTGTGTGTGTCTGTGTGTGTGTCTGTGTGTGTCACTGTGTGTGTGTCACTGTGTCACTGTGTGTGTGTGACTGTGTGTGTGTCACTGTGTGTGTGTCACTGTGTGTGTCACTGTGTGTGTGTGTCACTGTGTGTGTGTCACTGTGTGTGTGTCACTGTGTGTGTGTGTCACTGTGTGTGTGTCACTGTGTGTGTCACTGTGTGTGTCACTGTGTGTGTTTGTGTCACTGTGTGTGTCACTGTGTGTGTCACTGTGTGTGTGTGTGTCACTGTGTGTCACTGTGTGTGTCACTGTGTATCTCAGTGTGTGTGTCACTGTGTGTGTGTCACTGTGTGTGTGTCACTGTGTGTGTCACTGTGTGTGTGTCACTGTGTGTGTGTCACTGTGTGTGTCACTGTGTGTGTCACTGTGTGTGTGTGTGTCACTGTGTGTGTCACTGTGTGTGTGTCACTGTGTGTGTCACTGTGTGTGTGTGTCACTGTGTGTGTGTGTCACTGTGTATCTCACTGTGTGTGTCACTGTGTGTGTTTCACTGTGTGTGTCACTGTGTGTGTGTGTCACTGTGTGTGTGTGTCACTGTGTGTGTGTCACTGTGTGTGTCACTGTGTGTGTGTCACTGTGTGTGTGTGTCACTGTGTGTGTCACTGTGTGTGTGTGTGTCACTGTGTGTGTGTGTCACTGTGTGTGTCACTGTGTGTGTCACTGTGTGTGTGTCACTGTGTGTGTGTGTGTTACTGTTTGTGTGTCACTGTGTGTTACTGTTTGTGTGTCACTGTGTGTTACTGTTTGTGTGTCACTGTGTGTCACTGTGTGTGTGTCACTGTGTGTGTGTCACTGTGTGACTGTGTGTGTGTGACTGTGTGTGTGTCACTGTGTGTGTCACTGTGTGTGTGTGTCACTGCGTGTGTGTGTGTGACTGTGTGTGTGACTGTGTGTGTGTCAATGTGTGTGTCACTGTGTGTGTCACTGTGTGTGTGTGTCACTGTGTGTGTCAGTGTGTGTGTCACTGTGTGTGTCGCTGTGTGTGTGTGTCACTGTGTGTGTCACTGTGTGTGTGGCACTTTGTGTGTGTGTCACTATGTGTGTGTGTCACTGTGTGTGTCACTGTGTGTCACTGTGTGTGTGTGTCACTGTGTGTGTGTGTCACTGTGTGTCACTGTGTGTGTGTCACTGTGTGTGTCACTGTGTGTGTGTCACTGTGTGTGTCACTGTGTGTGTCACTGTGTGTGTGTCACTGTGTGTGTCACTGTGTGTGTGTCACTGTGTGTGTGTCACTGTGTGTGTCACTGTGTGTGTCACTGTGTGTGTGTGTGTCACTGTGTGTGTGCGTCACTGTGTGTGTCACTGTGTGTGTCACTCTGTGTGTCACTGTGTGTGTCACTGTGTGTGTGTCACTGTGTGTGTGTCACTGTGTGTGTCACTGTGTGTGTGTCACTGTGTGTGTGTGTCACTGTGTGTCACTGTGTGTGTGTCACTGTGTGTGTCACTGTGTGTGTCACTGTGTGTGTCACTGTGTGTATCTCACTGTGTGTGTGTGTGTCACTGTGTGTGTCACTGTGTGTGTCACTGTGTGTGTGTGTCACTGTGTGTGTCACTGTGTGTGTGTGTCACTGTGTGTGTCACTGTGTGTGTCACTGTGTGTGTCACTGTGTGTGTGTGTCACTGTGTGTGTGTCACTGTGTGTGTCACTGTGTGTGTGTCACTGTGTGTGTCACTGTGTGTGTCACTGTGTGTGTGTGTCACTGTGTGTGTCACTGTGTGTGTGTGTCACTGTGTGTGTCACTGTGTGTCACTGTGTGTGTGTGTCACTGTGTGTGTGTCACTGTGTGTGTGTGTGTGTCACTGTGTGTGTGTCACTGTGTGTGTGTGTGTGTCACTGTGTGTGTGTCACTGTGTGTGTGTGTCACTGTGTGTGTGTCACTGTGTGTGTCACTGTGTGTGTGTCACTGTGTGTGTCACTGTGTGTGTCACTGTGTGTGTGTGTGTCACTGTGTGTGTGTCACTGTGTGTGTGTCACTGTGTGTGTGTCACTGTGTGTGTGTCACTGTGTGTGTGTCACTGTGTGTGTGTGTCACTGTGTGTGTGTCACTGTGTGTGTGTCACTGTGTCACTGTGTGTGTGTCACTGTGTGTGTGTCACTGTGTGTGTGTCTGTGTGTGTCACTGTGTGTGTCACTGTGTGTGTGTGTGTCACTGTGTGTGTATCACTGTGTGTGTGTGTGTCACTGTGTGTGTGTCACTGTGTGTGTGTCTGTGTGTGTCACTGTGTGTGTCACTGTGTGTGTGTGTGTGTCACTGTGTGTGTGTCACTGTGTGTGTGTCACTGTGTGTGTGTCTGTGTGTGTCACTGTGTGTGTCACTGTGTGTGTGTGTGTCACTGTGTGTGTATCACTGTGTGTGTGTGTCACTGTGTGTGTATCACTGTGTGTGTGTGTGTCACTGTGTGTGTGTCACTGTGTGTGTGTCACTGTGTGTGTCACTGTGTGTGTGTCACTGTGTGTGTGTCACTGTGTGTCACTGTGTATCTCACTGTGTGTGTCACTGTGTGTGTCACTGTGTGTGTGTCACTGTGTGTGTGTCACTGTGTGTGTGTGTCACTGTGTGTGTGTCACTGTGTGTGTCACTGTGTGCGTCACTGTGTGTGTCACTGTGTGTGTCACTCTGTGTGTGTCACTGTGTGTGTCACTGTGTGTGTGTCACTGTGTGTGTGTCACTGTGTGTGTCACTGTGTGTGTGTGTCACTGTGTGTGTCACTGTGTGTGTGTGTCACTGTGTGTCACTGTGTGTGTGTTACTGTGTGTGTCACTGTGTGTGTCACTGTGTGTATCTCACTGTGTGTGTGTGTCACTGTGTGTCACTGTGTGTGTCACTGTGTGTGTGTGTCACTGTGTGTGTCACTGTGTGTGTGTCACTGTGTGTGTCACTGTGTGTGTGTGTCACTGTGTGTGTCACTGTGTGTGTGTCACTGTGTGTGTCACTGTGTGTCACTGTGTGTGTGTGTCACTGTGTGTGTCACTGTGTGTGTGTGTCACTGTATGTGTCACTGTGTGTGTGTCACTGTGTGTCACTGTGTGTGTGTGTCACTGTGTGTGTGTCACTGTGTGTGTGTGTCACTGTGTGTGTGTCACTGTGTGTGTGTCACTGTGTGTGTCACTGTGTGTGTGTCACTGTGTGTGTCACTGTGTGTGTCACTGTGTGTGTGTCACTGTGTGTGTGTGTGTCACTGTGTGTGTGTCACTGTGTGTGTGTCACTGTGTGTGTGTGTGTCACTGTGTGTGTCACTATGTGTGTGTCACTGTGTGTGTCACTGTGTGTGTGTCACTGTGTGTGTGTCACTGTGTGTGTGTGTGTCACTGTGTGTGTATCACTGTGTGTGTCACTGTGTGTGTGTCACTGTGTGTGTGTGTGTGTCACTGTGTGTGTATCACTGTGTGTGTGTGTGTCACTGTGTGTGTGTCACTGTGTGTGTGTCACTGTGTGTGTCACTGTGTGTGTGTCACTGTGTGTGTGTCACTGTGTGTCACTGTGTATCTCACTGTGTGTGTCCACTGTGTGTGTCACTGTGTGTGTGTCACTGTGTGTGTGTCACTGTGTGTGTGTGTGTCACTATGTGTGTGTCACTATGTGTGTGTCACTGTGTGTGTCACTGTGTGTGTCACTGTGTGTGTGTGTCTCACTGTGTGTGTGTCACTGTGTGTGTCAGTGTGTGTGTGTGTGTCACTGTGTGTGTGTCACTGTGTGTGTCACTGTGTGTGTGTCACTGTGTGTGTGTCACTGTGTGTGTGTGTCACTGTGTATCTCACTGTGTGTGTCACTGTGTGTGTCACTGTGTGTGTGTGTCACTGTGTGTGTCACTGTGTGTGTGTGTCACTGTGTGTGTCACTGTGTGTGTCACTGTGTGTGTGTCACTGTGTCACTGTGTGTGTGTGTGTCATTGTGTGTGTCACTGTGTGTGTCACTGTGTGTGTGTCACTGTGTGTATCTCACTGTGTGTGTCACTGTGTGTGTCACTGTGTGTATCTTACTGTGTGTGTCACTGTGTGTGTCACTGTGTGTGTGTGTGTGTCACTGTGTGTGTGTGTCACTGTGTGTGTGTGTGTTACTCTGTGTGTGTGTATCTCACTGTGTGTGTCACTGTGTGTGTGTGTGTCACTGTGTGTGTCACTGTGTGTGTGTGTGTCACTGTGTGTGTCACTGTGTGTGTCACTGTGTGTCACTGTGTGAGTGTGTCACTGTGTGTATCTCACTGTGTGTGTCACTGTGTGTGTGTCACTGTGTGTGTCACTGTGTGTATCTCACTGTGTGTGTGTCACTGTGTGTCACTGTGTGTGTCACTGTGTGTGTGTGTCACTGTGTGTCACTGTGTGTGTGTCACTGTGTGTGTGTCACTGTGTGTGTCACTGTGTGTGTCACTGTGTGTGTGTCACTGTGTGTGTCTCTCACTGTGTGTCTCTCACTGTGTGTGTCACTGTGTATGTGTCACTGTGTATGTGTCACTGTGTGTGTCACTGTGTGTGTGTCACTGTGTGTGTGTCACTGTGTGTGTCACTGTGTGTGTCACTGTGTGTGTCACTGTGTGTGTGTGTCACTGTGTGTGTGTCACTGTGTGTGTGTGTCACTGTGTGTGTGTGTCACTGTGTGTGTCACTGTGTGTGTGTGTCACTGTGTGTGTCACTGTGTGTGTGTCACTGTGTGTCACTGTGTGTGTGTGTCACTGTGTGTGTGTGTCACTGTGTGTGTGTCACTGTGTGTGTGTGTGTCACTGTGTGTGTGTCACTGTGTGTGTGTCACTGTGTGTGTATCTGTGTGTGTGTCTGTGTGTATGTGTGTGTGTGTGTCTGTGTGTATGTGTGTGTGTGTCTGTGTGTGTCTCACTGTGTGTGTCACTGTGTGTGTGTGTGTGTCACTGTGTGTGTCTCACTGTGTGTGTCAGTGTGTCACTGTGTGTATCTCACTGTGTGTGTCACTGTGTGTGTCACTGTGTGTGTCACTGTGTGTCACTGTGTGTGTCTCTGTGTGTGTCACACAGGAGAGAGTTTCCTGCTGTGCTCTCCCTCTGAGCTGACTGTCGCCCTGAGGATCGTCGCTGGTGCCCAGCGCCCCGTCCACAGCTGCCTCCTGGGAGGGCCGGGGAAGGGACCCAGCATGCAAATGGCACGTGCCCTGCTGGAGGTACTCACTACACTACACTATACACTACACTATACATTATATACTATACACTACACTATATACTACTACACTACACTATACACTACACTATACACTACACTATACACTACTACACTATACACTACACACTACACACTACACTATACACTACATTATACACTACACTACATTATATACTACTACACTACACTATACACTACATTATACACTACACTATACACTATACACTACACTATACACTACACTATACACTACACTATACACTACTACACTATACACTACACTATACACTACACTATACACTTCACTACATTATATACTACACACTATACAATACACTACACTATACACTACGTTATACACTATTACACACTATACACTACACTATACACTACATTATACATTATATACTATACACTACATTATATACTACACAATATACACTACACTACACTATACACTACATTATACACTATACACTACACTATACACTACTACACTACAGTATACACTACACTATACACTACACTATACACTACACTATACACTACATTATATACTATACACTACATTATACACTACTACACTACATTATATACTACACTATACACTATACACTACTACACTACATTATACACTATACACTACACTATACACTACACAACACACTACACTACACACTACACTATACACTATACACTACACTATACACTACACTATACACTACACTACACACTACACTATACACTACACTATACACTACACTATACACTACACTACACTATACACTACACTATACACTATACTATACACTACACACTATACTATACACTACACACTACACTATACACTACACTATACACTACACTATACACTACACTATACACTACACTATACACTATACTATACACTACACTATACACTACACTATACACTACACTCCCTCCCTGTCTCCCCAGGTGATAGTTGGTGGAGTTGCTAACTCACGCGCTGACTACACTATACACTACACTATACACTACACTACACACTACACTACACACTACACTATACACTACACTACACTATACACTACACTATACACTACACTATACACTATACACTACACTATACACTACACTATACACTACACTATACACTACACTATACACTACACTATACACTATACTATACACTACACTATACACTACACTATACACTATACACTACACTATACACTACACTATACACTACTACACTATACACTACACTATACACTACACTATACACTACACTATACACTACACTACACACTACACTATACACTACACTATACACTACACTATACACTACACTATACACTACACTATACACTACACTATACACTACACTATACACTACACTATACACTACACTATACACTACACTACACACTACACTACACACTACACTATACACTACACTATACACTACACTATACACTACACTATACACTACACACTACACTACACTATACACTACTATACACTACACTATACACTACACTATACACTACACTATACACTACACTATACACTACACTATACACTACACTATACACTATACACTACACTATACACTACACACTATACACTACACTCTATACACTACACTATACACTACACTATACACTACACTATACACTACACTATACACTACACTATACACTACACACTACACTACACTATACACTACACTACACACTACACTACACACTACACTATACACTACACTATACACTACACTACACACTACACTATACACTACACTATACACTACACTACACTATACACTACACTATCCACTATACACTACACTATCCACTATACACTACACTATACACTACACTATACACTACACTATACACTACACTATACACTACAACCCTCTCCCTGTCTCCCCAGGTGATAGTTGGTGGAGTTGCTAACTCACGGCGCTGACTTACACTATACACTACACTATACACTACATTACACACTACACTATACACTAGACTACACTATACACTATACTATACACTACACTATACACTACACTATACACTACACTATACACTACACTATACACTACACTATACACTAGACTACACTATACACTACACTATACACTACACTATACACTACACTATACACTACACTATACACTACACTATACACTACACTATACACTACACTATACACTACACTATACACTACACGCCCTCCCTGTCTCCCCAGGTGATAGTTGGTGGAGTTGCTAACTCACGCGCTGACTACACTATACACTACACTATACACTACACTATACACTACACTATACACACTACACTACACTATACACTACACTATACACTACATTACACACTACACTATACACTCTCCCTGTCTCCCCAGGTGATCGTTGGTGGAGTTGCTAACTCACGCGCTGACTTGCACCGCTACGTCTCCTACACTCTGCTTGCATCAAGCCTGGCCCAGTCTGGCGGTGGTGGTGGTGGTGGTGATGGTGGTGGTGATGGTGGTGATGGTGGTGGTGGTGATGGTGGTGGTGGTGGTGGTGATGGTGGTGGTGGTGGTGATGGTGATGGTGGTGGTGGAGAAAGGGGCGGAGTCATGGCCAGAAGGGGCGGAGACTCGGCCCCAGGGGGCGGGGACTCGGCCCGAGGAGGCGGGGACTCGGCCCGAGGAGGCGGAAACTCGGCCCCAGGGGGCGGGGACTCGGCTCCAGGGGGCGGGGACTCGGCCCCTGGGGGCGGGAACTCGGCCCCTGGGGGCGGGAACTCGGCCCCTGGGGGCGGGTACTCGGCGCCAGGGGGCGGAGACTCGGCCCGAGAAGGCGGGGACTCGGCCCCAGGGGGCGGAGACTTTCCCCGAGGGGGCGGAGCCTTTCCCCGAGGGGGAGGAGTCGTGCTGAGTGAGGCGGTGGTGGAGGTGCTGAACCGCTCCCTCTGCTACCTGGAGGACAACGAATTTGTGTCAAGAGCCACAGGCGACAGAGGTGAGGATCACTCACTCACTCACCTACTCACTCACCTACTCACCTACTCACTCACCTACTCACTCACCTACTCACTCACCTACTCACTCACCTACTCACTCACCTACTCACTCACTCACTCACCTACTCACCTACTCACTCACCTACTCACTCACTCACTCACCTACTCACCTACTCACTCACCTACTCACTCACTCACCTACTCACTCACCTACTCACTCACCTACTCACTCACCTACTCACCTACTCACTCACCTACTCACTCACCTACTCACTCACCTACTCACTCACCTACTCACTCACCTACTCACTCACCTACTCACCTACTCACTCACCTACTCACTCACCTACTCACTCACCTACTCACTCACCTACTCACTCACTCACCTACTCACCTACTCACTCACCTACTCACTCACCTACTCACTCACCTACTCACTCACCTACTCACCTACTCACTCACCTACTCACCTACTCACCTACTCACTCACCTACTCACTCACCTACTCACCTACTCACTCACTCACCTACTCACTCACCTACTCACTCACCTACTCACCTACTCACTCACCTACTCACTCACCTACTCACCCACTCACTCACCTACTCACTCACCTACTCACTCACCTACTCACTCACCTACTCACTCACCTACTCACTCACTCACCTACTCACTCACCTACTCACCTACTCACTCACCTACTCACGTACTCACTCACCTACTCACTCACCTACTCACCTACTCACTCACCTACTCACTCACCTACTCACCTACTCACTCACCTACTCACTCACCTACTCACTCACCTACTCACTCACCTACTCACCTACTCACTCACCTACTCACTCACCTACTCACTCACCTACTCACTCACCTACTCACTCACCTACTCACTCACTCACTCACCTACTCACCTACTCACTCACCTACTCACTCACTCACTCACCTACTCACCTACTCACTCACCTACTCACTCACTCACCTACTCACTCACCTACTCACTCACCTACTCACTCACCTACTCACTCACCTACTCACTCACCTACTCACCTACTCACTCACCTACTCACTCACCTACTCACTCACCTACTCACTCACCTACTCACTCACCTACTCACTCACTCACCTACTCACCTACTCACTCACCTACTCACTCACCTACTCACTCACCTACTCACTCACCTACTCACTCACCTACTCACTCACCTACTCACTCACCTACTCACTCACTCACCTACTCACCTACTCACTCACCTACTCACTCACCTACTCACTCACCTACTCACTCACCTACTCACCTACTCACTCACCTACTCACCTACTCACCTACTCACTCACCTACTCACTCACCTACTCACCTACTCACTCACTCACCTACTCACTCACCTACTCACTCACCTACTCACCTACTCACTCACCTACTCACTCACCTACTCACCCACTCACTCACCTACTCACTCACCTACTCACTCACCTACTCACCCACTCACTCACCTACTCACTCACCTACTCACTCACCTACTCACTCACCTACTCACTCACCTACTCACCTACTCACCTACTCACTCACCTACTCACTCACCTACTCACTCACTCACCTACTCACTCACCTACTCACCTACTCACTCACCTACTCACGTACTCACTCACCTACTCACTCACCTACTCACCTACTCACTCACCTACTCACTCACCTACTCACCTACTCACTCACCTACTCACTCACCTACTCACTCACCTACTCACTCACCTACTCACTCACCTACTCACTCACCTACTCACTCACCTACTCACTCACCTACTCACCTACTCACTCACCTACTCACTCACCTACTCACTCACCTATTCACTCACCTACTCACCTACTCACCTACTCACTCACCTACTCACTCACCTACTCACTCACCTACTCACTCACCTACTCACCTACTCACTCACCTACTCACTCACCTACTCACTCACCTACTCACTCACCTACTCACCTACTCACTCACCTACTCACCTACTCACTCACCTACTCACTCACCTACTCACCTACTCACCTACTCACTCACCTACTCACCTACTCACTCACCTACTCACCTACTCACTCACCTACTCACTCACCTACTCACTCACCTACTCACCTACTCACTCACCTACTCACCTACTCACTCACCCACTCACCTACTCACCTACTCACTCACCTACTCACCTACTCACTCACCTACTCACCTACTCACTCACCTACTCACTCACCTACTCACTCACCTACTCACCTACTCACTCACCTACTCACCTACTCACTCACCTACTCACCTACTCACTCACCTACTCACTCACCTACTCACTCACCTACTCACTCACCTACTCACTCACCTACTCACCTACTCACTCACCTACTCACCTACTCACTCACCTACTCACTCACCTACTCACTCACCTACTCACTCACCTGCTCACTCACCTACTCACTCACCTACTCACTCACCTACTCACCTACTCACTCACCTACTCACCTACTCACTCACCTACTCACCTACTCACTCACCTACTCACTCACCTACTCACTCACCTACTCACTCACCTACTCACTCACTCACTCACCTACTCACTCACCTACTCACTCACCTACTCACTCACCTACTCACCTACTCACTCACCTACTCACTCACCTACTCACCTACTCACCTACTCACTCACCTACTCACTCACCTACTCACCTACTCACTCACCTACTCACCTACTCACCTACTCACTCACCTACTCACTCACTCACCTACTCACTCACCTACTCACCTACTCACTCACCTCACCTACTCACTCACCTACTCACCTACTCACTCACCTACTCACTCACCTACTCACCTACTCACTCACCTACTCACTCACCTACTCACTCACCTACTCACTCACTCACTCACTCACCTACTCACTCACCTACTCACCTACTGACTCACCTACTCACTCACCTACTCACCTACTCACTCACCTACTCACTCACCTACTCACTCACCTACTCACTCACCTACTCACCTACTCACTCACCTACTCACTCACCTACTCACCTACTCACTCACCTACTCACCTACTCACCTACTCACTCACCTACTCACCTACTCACTCACCTACTCACTCACCTACTCACTCACCTACTCACCTACTCACTCACCTACTCACTCACCTACTCACTCACCTACTCACCTACTCACTCACCTACTCACCTACTCACTCACCTACTCACCTACTCACTCACCTACTCACTCACCTACTCACTCACCTACTCACCTACTCACTCACCTACTCACCTACTCACTCACTCACCTACTCACCTACTCACTCACCTACTCACTCACCTACTCACCTACTCACTCACCTACTCACTCACTCACCTACTCACTCACCTACTCACTCACCCTACTCACTCACCTACTCACTCACCTACTCACTCACCTACTCACTCACCTACTCACCTACTCACTCACCTACTCACTCACCTACTCACCTACTCACTCAACTCACCTACTCACTCACCTACTCACCTACTCACTCACCTACTCACTCACCTACTCACCTACCCACTCACCTACTCACTCACCTACTCACTCACTCACTCACTCACCTACTCACCTACTCACTCACCTACTCACTCACCTACTCACTCACCTACTCACCTACTCACTCACCTACTCACTCACCTACTCACTCACCTACTCACCTACTCACTCACCTACTCACCTACTCACTCACCTACTCACTCACCTACTCACTCACCTACTCACCTACTCACTCACCTACTCACTCACCTACTCACTCACCTACTCACCTACTCACTCACCTACTCACCTACTCACTCACCTACTCACCTACTCACTCACCTACTCACTCACCTACTCACTCACCTACTCACCTACTCACCTACTCACTCACCTACTCACCTACTCACTCACCTACTCACTCACCTACTCACTCACCTACTCACCTACTCACTCACCTACTCACCTACTCACGTCACCTACTCACTCACCTACTCACCTACTCACTCACCTACTCACTCACCTACTCACCTACTCATTCACCTACTCACCTACTCACTCACCTACTCACCTACTCACTCACCTACTCACTCACCTACTCACTCACCTACTCACCTACTCACTCACCTACTCACCTACTCACTCACCTACTCACTCACCCACTCACTCACCTACTCACTCACCTACTCACTCACCTACTCACCTACTCACTCACCTACTCACTCACCTACTCACTCACCTACTCACCTACTCACTCACCTACTCACTCACCTACTCACTCACCTACTCACTACTCACTCACCTACTCACTCACCTACTCACTCACCTACTCACTCACCTACTCACTCACCTACTCACCTACTCACTCACCTACTCACTCACCTACTCACCTACTCACTCACCTACTCACCTACTCACCTACTCACTCACCTACTCACTCACCTACTCACCTACTCACTCACCTACTCACTCACCTACTCACCTACTCACTCACCTACTCACTCACCTACTCACTCACTCACCTACTCACTCACCTACTCACTCACCTGCTCACTCACCTACTCACTCACCTACTCACTCACCTGCTCACTCACCTACTCACTCACCTACTCACTCACCTACTCACTCACCTACTCACCTACTCACTCACCTACTCACCTACTCACTCACCTACTCACTCACCTGCTCACTCACCTACTCACTCACCTACTCACTCACCTACTCACTCACCTACTCACCTACTCACTCACCTACTCACTCACCTACTCACTCACCTACTCACCTACTCACTCACCTACTCACCTACTCACTCACCTACTCACGTCACCTACTCACCTAACTCACTCACCTACTCACTCACCTACTCACTCACCTACTCACCTACTCACCTACTCACTCACCTACTCACTCACCTACTCACCTACTCACTCACCTACTCACTCACCTACTCACCTACTCACCTACTCACTCACCTACTCACTCAC